ATTTCAATGGCGTAAATCGATATATCGCTGGGGCTGGAGCGCAAAATCCCCTTTTTATGGGCGCAAAAAGTTTTAGCTCGCGGGCACCATCTGTCCCCCGGTTCGATCGTCTCTTGTTCGTTTTTCAATAGTCGCGCAGTTGATAAAGGGGGCAATCTCGGCCTCTAAGTTCCATGTAAATTGCCATCCTTTTCGCGGGTGTGATAAAGTCGCCGTTAAGGCCAGGAAGCAGACGCTGCCTTTCGGCGACCCTGGATTCGAGGTCATTTTTCACCGGCGAGCAGATTGTCGGCTCGGGCCCGCCAAAGCCGTCTTTACACCGTCGAACACGGTTTTCAAAATGCGCTCCTGAAAATGTCTCCTGCTGATGATGTGCGAATAGACGTGGCGCAAATTCAACCGTTCCGACATCATCTTTTCATCAAATTTTCACTTTCACTGGAAGAAAAACACATTGGATCTAGAGTCCTGACTCTTGAAAACATTGACAAGAAAAGGGATCTTGATTCAAGCAGATTTAAGCTTAAATCAAAAGGAAATCCGCTCAAATTAAGAGGCTTGGTTCTTGATTTAAGCTTAAATCTGATTAAATCAAGAGTATTTCTTCATGTAGATGTTTTTAAGAGTCTGGACTCTAGATCCAATGTGGTCTTTTTTTCCAGTGTTGCTTCCACCTTGGATGGAATACTATACTGCCGTGCTAAGCAAGAACGCCGTAAATCCATCAAGCTTTTCCCTCGTTTTTTTGGAACTTAACACTTCATAAAATAGAAACTGTTTTATCCATGCACCTCACATTTTCAGGTTAAGTTCTTGATAGTATTTGCGGGAGAATTCTGTAAAAACATTTTCCGAAGCTTCACGCGTTTTCCTGCTGTGATACATTGTTTTCAAAAAATATAAAATGACGTTTACGGGGTTTTTGCGTTGCACGGCAGCATAAGGATGTACCTTTTTTCCGTGCCATACGTTGTACCATAGCATGTACCATGTAATCATGCAATCATGTTATCATGTACCATATCATGTTATCAAATCATGTATCATATCATGTTATCATGTTACCATACCATGACGTGTACCATAGTTTCGGTCAGAAACTCATTTTGTACAAATTATAAAATAAGTGAATAAATAAAAATCTGTCGAAAAAAAAATAAAAGAGAAAAAAGATGAGAGATGAAAATGGGAGGAAATAAATTATTTCGATATAAATAAAATTATTCTGGTTTTTTTTATAATGATGAAAATTGGTGCATTCTTCAATTGAAGATCAGAAGAAAAGAAGAAAACCTGTGTTTTAACTCTGTAATTTTGTGTTTAAGTGCTGAGGATGGACTTGATGTCCGAAATGTACATCCACTGAACTTTTGATAAACATGCGTGGAAAGGCAAAACTTTCTCTCTTTTTTCAATTTAATTTTGAAATAATCCTATGCAGCCGAGCTTCCTCGCGAATTCTATTTACGACTTTCTGGCAGAAGACCCTTCGTGCATCAGTCATTTCCTCGCCAAATGTTCGCGCAGATTTTCCAACCCAAAAATTTGTCAACTTCTATATTTGTCTTGAATCGCCGCGGAAATGTTTACAAAACACTGGCCGCCATAACTGGAGGTGCCAAGTTCAATCTTCCTTATCGGCAAATTACGAAGGCCCGTGCGAGTCAGCGTGTCCAGCCACGCTGAATGAAAACAAGCGCTGGATGTTTTCTCAATAAAAAGTTTCGATCTCTGAAAGTTCGCGACCGAACACTGCAACAGGAAGACTTCCAATAGATTTCGGAAAAATGGCTTCGTGACGCTGATGCGAGTATGCCACGTTCTTGTGAAAATTGAGGATATCACGGAGAAAGAAAAACTCGGCTCACATCGTCGCCTTTTTATTTAAAAAAACAGACACTAAGTTTTAGGTTAAGTTCTAGTAGTTAAATTCCTTTAAAGCAATTGTAATTGACACCCCTGAAAGGGGTGGTTGTACACTTTATATAAGTTAATAAAAAAAAAAAAAAAAAAAAAAAAAAAAAAAAAAAATATCACAAGGGCCATGTGACGTTTAAAAATCTCCGCCACCATTCTATTTGTACTTTTCTACACAGAAATTGTTAAACGAAACTGTCCGAAAATTTCGTTGAATTTTCTTTGTGCTGCTGATAAAGTTCAGTGAAATTTTCAAACAGATTCAAGCAACAATTGAGGAGCTTTCCGGAAAAAGGGCACATAGCAAAAAATCTAGTATGAGAAAAATGCATCATCTTAAGTTTTCATCATTACTTTCCGGTCACTGATGATAACTTACGTCGCAGCTTGGACTCCCGATTTCGAACGTATATCACAGTCAGTGGCCTTAGAATAATGATGGAAACTTCAAAATGCATTTTTCTCAAACGCAATGTTTTGCTATGTGCCCTTTTTCTGGAAAGCTTCTCCATTAGTCTGTAAATAATAAAAGGGTGCCGAAATTTTGAAACGCCACATGGTGCTTGTGATAATCTGGCCGGTAGATGACAATATATTGAACACTGAAATTAGCGGTTCAGGTAACCAAAATTTTTGGTCACAAAAACCGAATTTTTCGGTTCAGTTTACCAAAATGTGGTTCCTATGACTGAGAGCTTTCGGTACTGAGCCGAAAAAGTTTGGTTGGATCGGAGGTCAGTCTCATCAGCAAAACTTCTTTTCTATCCCCTTAGGTGATACTGACATGGGTCAAATTGACCCGCGGCTTGTTATTTTCTGATGACCCAGCCAGTGCGCTGCACATTAACATTTGAGCGTTTTGACAACCACCCCTTTAATGCCTAACATGGGTTTAAATAAAATGGAGGCAATAACTTAATTGCACCGAGAAAAAACACGGTTATTCTACAGCTACCTTGGTAGTAATGTCACGCGCGATTTCACGGTAGTAGAACCGTGAACTTGGGTAAGATTATTGATGAGCATAGTGGCATAACTATGCGCTCATAGTAGCATTGTGGTGCTCACAGTAATATTACGGTGGACATGGCAACATAACCGTGCTCATCATTACAATAATCAAAACCCACGGTTCTACTACCGTAGTAACCGTAGAAGAACCGTGATTTTTTCCGCTGTATGCTGTTTTGAAAAATTGTATCGTTTTTATTTCAGTTCAGCTTTTTAGTGGATGCATGGGTATTTTTTTTTTTTAAATGAAAAAAATTCGCGGAACTTTGAGTTGGAAAAACGTAGAGGGGAGGGGGAATGGATGAAGGAGTGAGAAGTTATGCGTCACTCTTACAATTTCATATGATAAAGCATATGATATAATTTCTTAAATACAGTAAAAAATATTACAGATATACTGACTATGGGAAAGAGAACAGATCCATTTCGTTGGTCTAGTGTTCCATTGACTCAAAACCATCTGTAACGTTATCGGAAATTTAGGGGTTTAAAGTTGGCAGCCACGTACTTCGATACCTCCGTTTGGGCCCGTCAACGAAACTTCTACAGTCACATTGTTGTCCAGTCTCTCGCCGAGCTCAGGTTCTCCCAACGTTCCATCGCAAAATTTGACATCCAAGTTTGGTTGCCGGATAAACCGTTTCATAAAAGACAAATAAGGGACCCCGATATGGAAAGTCAAGTTTGACATTCGTATCCTCCAAGTTGTCTTTGAAGTTGGGGTGTTCCTCAATCTCGCATCAAGTTTTTGGCTAGACACTTTTCGATAGGATCCAAATCTCCTCGCCGCATGCTATATGCGTTAGACACTGCCTGACACCCGCGCAGGACTTAAGTAGTAGTAGTAATGCACGATTACTTTAAAGGATAGCCTTCGCGGCTAACTTCCCTCACAAATAACATTTTATGGTGTAAAAGGAAGGTTTTTCCCTAGAAAACAGCCAATTTTGCCCAGAGGTCATGCTTGAAAGTTAATAGCAGCATGGGTTTCACCATTCTGAATGCGTGTGAAGTAACCTATATTTGGACAACATTTTGCAATAAGAAACCACTATTTCTGGCCCATTTTAGAAACAACATAGATATCATTGGTTTTCCTATGCAGAAATTTGCTTTTATAGGAGAGCCAGAGATAGTGGTTCCTTATTGCAAAATGTAATCCATTTATCGATTCTAGGTGAGACGAAGTGGCTCCTTTTGGTTCAATTTTTTTTAATGGAGTCAAACTGACTATTTACAGTGTTGCTGATTCATCAGAGTCGTCTTTGATCATCTGAATCATGTCTGGTGAACAGCGCGTTAAATTAGGCTCATAAAATGACTCACTGAATTTTTATTTCACTCAACCGTAGGTAAATGGATTGCATTGTGCAAAAAGGAACCAAGAGCATTGCAGTGTTGCTAAGATTGTGCAACTTCATCCTTTACAATAATAGTACTGAAACCATGCAAAAATATGAAATTTACATGATTATTATTGACTTAAATTTACAGTTTATAGGGTGTAAAATAGAAACTGTTTACAGATGATCAGGCTTTTCTTTCAAGACGAAAGATGTAGCAGAATTTTAGCAACACTGCAATGTCCTTGGTTTCTCCTGCAAAATGTAATCCAAATAATCCTTTCTCTTTGAGCCTGCCTCTATGCGTAGCGATTGTTTTAAGTATTTTGGATTGAAAATGTATCGATAAAGTGACCGAAGCTCAGCGCACACCGAGCTTGGAACTCGTCGACCTAGTTACGACTTCATTGAAGATAAACGGTTTTATCTTAATTGATTTAAAAGATCATCACTTACTTTAAGCTTTTTAATAATCTTGAATTTTCTAACCAAACTGAAAACCCCTGGTTTAGAACAATTTCAACTATAATAGGTATAAATCTATGATTGGATGGACGGGTCCCCGTGTATCGAAAACGGGATCCGGCGTCACACTGGAGTCTCGTAATTCGGGACCTGGAAAAAGCTTAATAGTGGCACCAGCTCTCCCATTTACATCACAACTATATGTACTGTATGAGTTATATGCAGACTTTTATCAACTTATCTCATTCTTGCATTCTGTTCCAGTTTGCTGTTGTACACTATTTCACTAAATACGGCTCAGGTGAATGTTACTTTGGCCAAGATATGATGTCAGATTCGTCAAGTTCCGATGAAGAAGACGCAAAATCCATCGACCAAAAATCACCAACCACTGTGCGTATTGATTCAAGTAAATCGATCGTAAATAGTTTTATTTTACATTATTCACGAAGAATGAAGGACAAAAATGGCATTTATCAAAAAATACTGACTGGCGGATTGAGTCGCGTTGAAAGAAATCAACTACTTCTTGTTATAGAGACACGTAAAATTGTATTTCAATGAATATTCATCGTTTAACAAAGTATGCAATGAGATGCAGTTTTATGTCATTTGATCAATCAAGGGTGTTGCACTCTAAGCAAAAATAAAAAGGAAATGGGAAGTACTTTACACATTTTTGAAGTCAGGAACCGTTTCTTAAGCATACATCAAGGATGATAGGCAATATTCTAATTTTCAAAATGAATTCAGATATCTGCAAAATGAAAGAAGAGAACAATCTTAAAAATAAGTAAATACACCTATAAAAATGAAAAACACAAAAAATATTCGGAAAAATCTTATTATTATGAGACAAAATTCCTGAGAAAATAAATGTCGCCGATGAAAGTGGATATTCCCCCAAACGGATCCATCCTCTAACCACGATTATAGTAGGAATACGTGTTATAACTTAATGTAGGTGTAAATATCAAACTAGGTAGCGTTCCAATGACCGAACCTAAACGAATACATAGAAAAAATCCGGGGGAAAATGTTACGTTATCTAAGATTCTTCTAAAATTACAAAGCAAAAGAACATGGCTTTGTTACCCCCGTGCCCCCGGTTGTATATTTTGAAAAAATGTATGAGCAAATGTATGTTACGGGCTGATGAATTTTCTACATAGCTCGTAATTAATGAACGCTTCCCAATCGCCTGAAATCAAGAAATTATCAATTCATAAAGAAACTATAGAGGCATCCTCCAAAACAGCCACCTTAACAGTCATAACGACCGATATTATTGGTACATGATGTTTTTTCTCCCTCTTGACTGTCCCTTCTTGTCTGTTTTTTCTCCATAAACTGCAAAACTCATCTTGATAACCTCTTGGTTTTCTATTTTGTAGAGGCCTTCAAGTCACCAGCAGTCCTGTTATCAAAGTGCATCTTATTCAGTTAGCAGTTATGACTCTAGATATTTTGAGGTAATGTTTTCTTTGATTTATTTTCCTATTTGGTAGTACACTTACACGTCTGGTTAAAAGCACAATTTTTTAGTATTTTGTAATTTTTGAATTTTTTTGTAATTGCGGCTGAATTTTCAAGAGAGTTTCGAAAGAGGAATCACTTATTCGATGCGAACGTATGTCAATATCAATGTCAATCCTGATAACAGAATTCAATAGTTATGTTGTGTGTAATTTTTCATTCTCTCAAAATTCACAATAACCAACAATCACTTCCACACTACTAAAATTCAGGCTGACTTATTTTTTTTACTTATAAAATCCGTCACTTTTTCATATAATATTAGTCCTTTTATTCTAACTTTACAGGTTTTTCTTTTTTTATTTAATTAGTAAAACACAGGTAAAGTATATACAATGGATTGATTAGACCTACATGTTGTTTTTACAATTTTTCTTAACGTAATTTTAAAATTCCACAAACACTTTTTGCCTTCACAGGTGATTCCATTATCTGAATGCACCGTGCCAAGTATAAGAAGTCTAAGCAAATCGGGCTCAACTCAGAGTGCCTGTTGTGGTGAGTAAATTGGTGAACATTGTAGTTTATTTATAAAAAACCAAATGCGCTAATACATTCATAAAAATGCCTGACTAGGTAAATTTCTTAATGGCATATATGTCGGTATTCTTATACAGAGGTTCAGTGCAGCATTTTTAATTGGTATCAAACTCAAGCATCAATGGAGCACGTGGAAGTGGAAGAAACAGCAGTGTATAGCTCTATTAAAACGTTCCTCATTTTCTGCGCATTTCAGAGGCTAAAATGTATGGAATTGGAAAATGCGTCTCCTTAATGCGACATTGCAAATCGTTGTTCAATATTCGGTACGAAAATCGATCAACAGTTTTTCTTGAGATTCTCCGTGGATTGTCCTCGGTCATTCTGAAACGCTCATAGAAAATGTGGAGGGAATTAAAAATTAACTTTTTACTTAAGGAAAGAAGTCAAAAACGACCAAAATTTTATGAACGCTGTAATGAAGGTACACATGTTTTTAGATACATTGCTAATGGTTTTTCACCGGGAAACTATTTTCTAGTGTATTAAAGTTCTAATAAAAAATTCACTGTACGTATACATTTTTTCGTTTTGCATAGTTTTTGCTAAACATGATACAGAAAAAAAAAACTCGTGCATCCAGTAGCTTCGTTGGACGGATTTAATATCCCTCACTACATAAGGGATTTTTTTTTTTAATTTCCTCTGATCATCTATTTTTTCAACAATTTCAATATTCCGAGTTGAGGTTTTGTGAGTCAGTTCATTCTACACGATCCAGCGGAAATTCACATAAAGTTTCAAAGCATCTTGCTGTTATTTTCGTCCGAATTTAAAGAAATCAAACAGGGTCAAAGCTGAAGCCTTCAATGCGGAATTACTTTAAAAAAATGTATGAATCGCACACTTGAGTGAAATTCACGCCCAAATTACTTAAGCCATTTGAGTGATAGATATGACAAAACTCTCGAAATTGTCATCGATTCCATCGGTATGCTAGCGTTTAGCTTTCAGGAGGCGTCGAAGATTGAGTTGCGAACACATCAAACAAGAAAAGAGAGAAAAACACTAACAAACATTGATTGAAGAGTCTATTGTTTTGATTTTGAATTTCGAACAAAACTCCAACTGAACGAAAGCCACTCCGCACCCTGGACCGCATCATTAGGAGTTGGACAAAATCTAGAAACTATGAAAGCTGATATTTTGGAAAAATATGAAACAAACAAGTTTTAAAGTAGTTCCATTGATTTTTTCGTGAAATTTCATTTCAGAGACCCCCTTGAAATAGAATTTGTGACGAAATAAACATCAAAATTTGAAATTTTAGTGACAAATTTCTTTTCCGACCCAATCTATTAGCCCGATCCGACGTGCGCCGTTTCTACACTTGAACTTCCGGAGCAAGCTTTAAGTGGCGCTCTCTGACGAGAAGTATAAGAAAGAAAGGAAAACCTCTACAGCTACCGCGTTCAGAATTTTCCCGTTAGGTAGCGCTGTGTGTTACACAGAATTTCGTGTCAAGTCAGTCTTCAATATATTCAAACTTATACGACTTCGAGAGGCAAGTTTGTAAAAATCAAATCATTCTTGATCGATAATAGCTTCCGTTTGGTAACGGTGAAAATTGATTTCGAACTCCTGTTTTTTTTATAAAAAATATCTTAGTCAATGAAGCATATATTGGAATTTCATAACGCAAGTCTTCAATTTCTATTTTTATTTTGAAAAATATCTCTTTTCTTGTCTTTACAAACGAGGCCTGAGGGTTTTCATATTTTTTTCATTTTTTAATTATGTATTTTTATCGCCTGGTTAATGAATTAAAGGGGTTGCGATAACTATATGTAACGTTCCAGGCATTTTATATGTTATTCAGCCTGACTTACTCATTTTTTTGGATTTGTTTTCAACTTATGTATACATATTTGTTTCTCAAAAAATAAAGGAAAGAATATGAAAAATGAAAGCATGTAGAAAGTTTCGAAACTTTATATCGGCATATGATCCTTTCGAGACTCCATCGAAGAAGTGGAAAATACAACAACACCGATACTGCCATGTTAAGGAAAAACGCCGTATGAACCTCCAGGCGTTGCCATATTTCCTCTGATAAAATACGAATTTATTGGGGCAATTATAAATATTTTTCCTCCAATTATTCGGACTATTTTGTTCGCAATTAATTCTAAAGAATCTGACAATTTCACGGAAAAATAAACATAGATTTCTTCAAAAATACTTGTTTTACCTGCGAAAATTCGGCAACTCTTGAATGTTCATACGGCTTTCTTCCTTATAGCACGGCAGGATACTCTACCGTCTTATTATGTTGTGTACGAGAATTTGTATCCATTAGAATTGAAGGCGTTCTGTATTCTAAGAGCTGCTTGTTCTAGCTAGTGAATCTCAACTTACAAATATTGTAAATTTTCCAAGGGACCTGTGTTTTTCGGTGGAGGATAGCCGAAAAAAATTATTTTGAGTCACTTATTTTTTCAATTCTTCGACCCTCCCTCCATCCCTTACGGTGTATCGATTTCAACTTGGTGCCTTACAAAGTCTCTGAGTACTTGTTCTTTGGCACCTAAAAGGTTTATCTTAAACTAGCTTCTTCGCCCGCTACGCAGTTTTAGGTGTTTCCTAAACAATGTTTTTTCCCGAGTTGGTGTGTTTTCGAACTCACTGATTTAATGCATTGCAATGTTGCTAAGATTGTGCAACTTCTTTTGTCTTGGAGGAAAAACCCGATTATCCCTTAATAGTTTCTATTTTACTCGCTAAAAACTGTAAATTTAAGACAAAAATTACCATCTAAATTTCATAGTTTTTCACAATTTCCGCAATTGAATTACAAAGGATGAAGTTGCAAAATCTTAGCATCATTGCAATGCTAGTGGTTCCTTTTTGCAAAATGCAATCCAATTAACTGTCTTTACTGAAACTTGAGCATTTTTGAGTCACCGAGTTGGTGTGTTTTCGATCTGACTGATTGATTTGATGTTTGCTCTCAGGACTAAAGCCACAACCCCGAAAAAAGAGCCTGGACGAGGTGACGGTCTACTCGTCGAGCTCGAGCCGGTACCGCGGGAACTCGAGCGACCAGAGCCTGCGGAACCTGGAGCGGAACGAGTCGCGGCACAAGAAGCGGCGCCACACCCCGCGCTTCAACTCCGTCTCCAAGATCGACCGCATCTCCCGGGTCGTCTTCCCCATCTGCTTCCTCATCATCAACATCATCTACTGGTACCTCTACCTGTACCGAAGCGAGCGCATCGCCCCCGCCGACAGTTAACGGCCCCCATGAAATGTGCTGTGTTTGCTGCCCATGCCCACGTTGTAGAGGATATTTTTGGCGGCTGTGTTGGTCCATGCTAGACTCGAAAAATATTATCACAACCCCTCCCATACAGAGAAAAATAGATGGTGCTGACGACAGAACCTTCTGTTCACAGGGCTCCTGCAGTTTTTTTTGTTTCACTGGAAAAAAACACATTGGATCTAGAGTCTAGACTCTTGAAAACATTGACAAGAAAAAATAGAAGAAAAAGTTTCTCAACACGGCAGAAATTAATAGGCCATACTGCCGTAGTAAGAAAGAACGTCATATGAGTATTCGAAAGTTGCAAAGTTTCCTCCAATTAAATGTTTATTGTTCAGGAAAATTATCAATATTTTTTGAAATTTTCAGATGTTTTAGATAAAATTACAAACAAAATTACCTAAGAAATTGGAGGAGAAATATTCCTATTTTTTCTTGAAAATTAGTGATTTATCGAAGGGAATTTGGCAATGCCTGAAGGCTCATTCGGTGTTTTTCCTTACTACGGCAGCATATACCAAAATAAATTTCCCCTAAAAGTGGTATCATTCGTAAATATTCAACTTAATAAATGATGCACAAATACGCTAAAAGTGCTTAAAATTCAATCTGGGAGGGGTTGAAATTTTTGAAAATTTTCCGGCAAAGAACTCACCACCCCCTTGCTCGGGTGGGGCTATTCAACATTATTAACATTCAACATTAGCTAATGCCCCCCTCCGACTCACTCTGGCTTTGCCACTGTCTCTACCTGGTGCCCTCGCAATCAACATAAGTGTGGTTGAATTAACTAGATCCCTAGCTGGTGCCGTTGCACTTCTAGGTAATGCAACTACTCTTATGCCTGGCGCCGAAATCAGCTGGCGGTATAGTTGAGATTGTGATACTTTTCTTTTCCAGTATAAGAATCGACACACGTTCATGGTCGAATGAGTCATTGGACCGGCAGGCAAGCTATTAAAATTGATAGATAAAGCGATAGACAAAGACGATACAGGGAGTATCGGAGCGAATCTATTGGTTGAAACGGGTGGTCCTTGTGGACTGAAGAAAGTATGTACTGACGTGCTAAGTGAAAACGCCGTATCCAAATTCGAATTCGAACGTTGCCGAATTTCCTCTCAAAAATATTAATTTTTGAATGAAGTTATGAATATTTTTTCATGGTATTTTCAGAATTTTTAGATCAAATTAATGTATGAACAAAATCCTCTGAGAAATTGGAAGAGAAATATTCACAAATTTTCCGGAAAATTTGTGATTTTTCAAAAGAAATTCGGCAACGTCTGATGACTCATACGGCGTATTTCCTTGACGTGGTTGTATAGGAAGAGTACGGAGAAGTCGGTAATTTTAAGGTTAGGTCATTGAGCTTTCAGGGCCAAGAGCAGCAGCCAATCTATGTATTCAAATTATCGAGAGTGATTTAATGTTACAATTATCACGACTTGTCGTTTGTAAAGCACTATTGTTCTTCGTGTTCTAGACGCTCATTAATGAATATTCTTGACCATCTTGGCTTGATATTGGAATCCAAAGTTGGCAGTGACACTTTTTGGACTGGAAGATTGGCTGCTCTGTTGGGCTCTAAAAACACCATAATATGACAAGTCCGCACTTTCTTTAAATGGATAATCTATTACAGACTGAGGGGGAAAATGGTGGACTGTAGTGTCTCTATTGTCAGTTGCCGTTAGTTAGTCTTTTACATATCGCCTTTCGTTTAGCCCATCGCAACTATCCCCGTCCACCAATAGGGTTACTCCATTTTTCCTCTGTCTTTTATGTCTATCTCTTCGTATATCAATTTCAATAATCAACCCGCAAGTGCTCTCGTAAAAACGACCCCACGTGGGTCCATACCACCCCGATAGGTCCCTATGAAAATCGGTCACTGGACAAGATCTACATTAGAGATAAGCGTCACTTGTATTTTTAATTAAAAATGTTTACCAGAAAACGATTTACGCGACGACGGTACGTTTGGAGATTAACTTTTAACAAGATATTAACAAGTATTTTTAACACAGATCGAACAGAAGTTGAATTATTGAGTAACGAAATTCGTATTGTTGCAGTCATTTGACCAAAGTGATTGTAAACACTTACATCTTCTTTAAGAGTTGATTTAGAGACTTACCGTTGTGTGATTCTTTTTCCCAGTGAAATTTTGAAGAAAGAACATGTTGCGTGGTGCTTTAATTCATAACTTGTCTGGCGACTCATTTCATGGGAAGCCATGGGGATTTCATGGAGATCCATTGAGATGAAAAGTACACCTATGAACCTACATCTTAAAAAACGCACCACGATTTGGGATACTTACTAGTACATATACTTTTGGAATTTTCAAAGTGGTTCTTGATCAAGTCTTCCTTACGGATACCTGGAATATTCCAGCTAGGTATGAAGTTTAAGAATTTTGACGAAATATCCGACACTCCGAAAATTATCAATGGATCCATCAACATTGATTCTTGACCCGAAGCATACTTGTAAAAACCTTGTTCAAGAACTGTACTTCCCCTTGCGCGAATAGCTTTCTCACTTAGAAGTTGGAGAGAAAACATGTGATGAAATGTTGTAGATCGTTGGTTTTTTTTTTGAGCTATAGGTTTAAAGGAACAAAAAACAAAAAACGTTTCTTCCTCGTTCGTGAGCTGAATTTGGAAATTTTCATCAAATTTTGCGTCTACGTATTTCACCTCTCTTTAAGGGATAAATTCTGAGAATGATAATGAATGGTGATATTTATTTTCTTAAACTGCATAGTGGTTTAGTGGTGGACTAATGCAGTCAGGAGGTTATGAACATGGCTGTGTACGTCTGGAATTTTTCAGGTAGGCAACAAATCATCCGCTTCACTGCAACAATGCTCAGTCTTTCTTTTCGATTTCGCACCACTTACATTAGACAAATAATTTAAGAATAATAATTTAGCTCCTTTCTTTGTTTTAGCAGCACTTTGCAAGTGGAGTCGGATATATTGCTGAAAACCTAATATTGACAATGAGGGAAAATTTAAAAATCAGGGAAAACTGAAAATTTCCAATTTCAACTTAAAACTGGTTTGCATTTTGCAAAAAGGAACCAGAAGCATTGCAATGGTGCTGAGATTATGCAACTTTATCCTTTGCAATAAAATTACTGAAACCATGAAAAAATATGAAAGTTACATAATAATTTTGTCTTAAATTCATAGTTTTTAGCGAGTAAAATAGGAACTGTAAATTGATAATCAGGTTTTTCTTCCGAGACAAAAGAAGACACACAATTTCAGCAACATTGCAATGCTCCTGGTTCCTTTTCGAAAAATACAATCCAATTGAGAGATGAGCGTTTTACTTGCTTGCGTCAAAATAGTTTCAAGATGGTGGGCCCTTTGAAAGTGACCAATGAAACTCCAGATGATTGAAATGATTGTGATATGATAACCATTGAGGAAGGGCAGTGTGTTTCATTTCCATACACTGCCAAGTTGATCATATAAATAAATATAGACGTTCAACAAATAATGTATCGTTGATTAAACTACCCTCCTTCCCGGAGTTGGAAAAAGAGCTGCAATAATAATTTTCATTCGAATAATGCCGAATTATTTTATCGTTTATAGTGGTTAGAAGACACAAGACATGTTTCTCGCCTAATCTTGTGTTTTACGGTCTTTTTCTGTGATTACTATTTCCAGTATATTAATTCGATAAATTTTTATAGTGATTGTTTTAATTGATGTAAATAAACGGTTATAGAATATTTCACTTTTGTCTATTAATGCTTGGATCTTATCCTTCTCTTCGTGAACAAATTGATGACACCGGTAAAAAGGGGTCAAATCAAATGTCCTATTTGATTTAAAAGTTCGGCATCGAAAAGTACATATTTCATGTAACTATGCCAGAAATCCTAAAATATATTCAAACAAGGGCTCTCTAACCCTTTTTTTTAAGTAATCTGGTTGACTTTCTATTTTGTTAGTTCACTAATTCAGTCAAAATTGATCTTGTTGGTACCAAAAAAATGCATTTTTTTCGAGCGTATGGCTCCGCGTCGTGAGATTCTAAATTATTGTGCTGTGAGAATGGACAATTTTCATGCAATAAAAATTCTTCTGAGTAAATGAAATAGATTAGTGCATAAAATTTGCGTTGAATGTGAATAACGAAGATCTTTCCATAGTTTTCTACAAGTTAACATAGTTTTTCCAGATTTCTCTGATAAGTAAGTATTTTCGATACCGCCGTATCAAGGGCAGGGCCTGCCTTACCTACTTGCCGCCCCTTCTCATTCGTTTTGAAACATCGATACAAACCATCAAGTGAACGTGCCGGAGGAGGAGGGGTACATAAGACGCATTTACTCGTGTTGGGCATATTTTTAGTGAAAGCCCTGTCAACACTAGCGAAAGTTCATGGAACTTTGCGCGAAAATAAAGTTCCCTAAACCTATCTCTGTGTGGACGAGGCCTTTCATTTATAAGAAAAGAACAAACAAATTATCAAAGAATAAACATGAATGTGGTTTAATGATTTTCATTTCCGTCAACGCGCCAACCACACTGTGTGAAGTATCCCTACAGTCTTGTAGGCGCTATGCGTTTACCGCTGACCGCACTGTTTTTAATGCAACGTGTGAAGTATTCATGCAGTCTTGTAGGCACTATGAATTTCACGCCAACCGCTGCTGACCGCACTACGTTAGACGCAATGCGGGAAGTATTCATGAAGTCTTGTAGACGCTAATATGTGCTTCATGTTGACCGGCGCGCCGAGGGCTTCTCCTTTCTATCTCAAGTCCTCGTCATCATTGCTCTCTGCGCCGCGCCACTCCAGGCCAAATTGCGTGTTTGTTTTCTCTCTCAACTGGACTAATGAAAGGTGCTGTCTCTTGTATCACCGAAAGACGAACAAATTAGAAATTACTATACTTTAACTCTCAGGAAATGAGAGATTTTTTCGCCTTTTCTCTTTTGTAATTTTTTCTCTTAATCAGATTTTTTTCTAGACACTTACGTTTTTTTGAAAAAATTACATCTTTTTCCGCCCCTTAAATTTGCCACTATGGCACCCCAAATGTGGCCACCCCCTAAATCCGACCCTGATCAAAAGGGGTTATGAAAGGTGGCAACACTGCTTGCCCTCCATTCAAATGTATGTAAAACAATCGATTCTTGGTATGGCAGCTGGCCGTATGTAAAATCGATATTTTTAATAGATTTAAATGGAGGAGAAACAGCGTTGCCAACTTGCAATATCGCCCTTGCGTCGTATTAGCTCGCCAGTGACGCAACCATGGCTGCGTCATTTTTTGACATTAACCGCATGTCCTGATTCCTTCTCATTGTGAACATTTTCAGGACCTCGCACAGAAGATTCGTGCACCTAATTCCGTAAACTGGCTCAAAGTCCTAATCGAAACATACTTCCAGTTTTCGCGAGGCCAAAGTTAATGAAAATTAAGTGAAACTCTTCCCAAAGTTCGTATTCGATACACCAAACAGGTGAGACCGTGTCGATATCGATTGGCTCAATATGTAAACACAGTCTCAAAAGTCAATTTAGAAATCTAGGGTAAATGTTCTTTTGTGATCGAATTTTTATTAAAATCAATGCAGAGTGTGCAAACATTTCAAAATCATGAGTTAAAAAACGCTGACTATGCGAGTACAAATATTAAAGTCTAACAGAGCGGAGCGGCGTGCTACCAGCGCGAGAGGCTCACTGGCGTCTACAAACCTAAGTGGATACTTCACGTATTGCACAATGCTTGAAGTATCCACTTAGGTTTGCAGGCGCCAATGCGCGTTTTGCGCTGGCCGCCCGCCTGCCGTGCGGCGGCGCCTGAAGCAACTATTTTACAACAGAGGTGTTGCACAGTATCGTACGAAATTGAATGTATTAAGAATGACAAGTATCCTCAAAAGTACAGATCTTTCCTCGCAAAATAAATCAAAATACTTATCGTACACAGGAAAAATCTAAGAGCCTTTAGCTGAGGCAAATATAGAGGTTTATCCGGTTCTGGTATAACAAGGTGGGAACTTCTTGAAAGATAATTAAGTCCTGTTACACCAAAGAGGTGTAGAGAGTTTTAGTGAATCTTGTCTCATGGAATTGACGCTCCCCCATTTTTACCAAAACTCTCAACTGTATATTATTGCGCGGACAAAAAATCGTTGACGAAATGTCCTATAACCGTATTGCGTTGCATCCCAGTTCGCGAGAGTTGGATAAAACAACTCCTCATTCGAAATATTAACTTGTGCGCATTCGCATTGAAGCGGGGAAGCCTAAATAATGATTATTTCTCAGGCAGATTGTGAAGTTAGGAATGTATTCCAGACTTTTTATGCGCTCATAGTTCTTTTCCAGCCACTTTCAACAAGAATCAACATTTCTCTTTGCTCTAGCTGAAGTTTGAAACAGGCCCATTTGGACTGCGTTTATCAGAAAGTAACCAAGCCGCATCAGTTATTGCCAAATGTAATCGAGCAATTTAATATGTTACAGTAGATCGTCTGTGCAGAATTTTGAAATTTTTATTAAAGAATTTGCTTTGTCTTCGCAGAAAATTCACCGAGATTTGCACAAAAATCTGCGCAACCGTTTTCATGTAAAAAATTACATTGCTCAAAATGTTTCTACGGATCTGGGTGTCTCATTGGAAATTTTGAAACCACCTAGTATGACGCACAAAAAAAATAAAAAAATAATAATAATAAATAAATTTGACATTAGCTGATGTAGCTTGGTTCCTTTCTGTCTTACGCGGTCCGCTTATCCCAGGCCGTAGAATGCTCCATCGATACGGTAACCAATCTGCACAACCATTTTTATGTAAAAAAATTACATTGCCCTAAATGTTCTACGGATCCGGGTGTCTCCTCGGAAATTATAAAACCACCTTGTGTGACACACCCCCCCCCCAAAAAAAAAAAAAAAAAAAAAAAATTGACTTTAGCTGAAAGGGCTTGGTTCCTTTCTGTGTAACGCAGTCCGCTTATCCCCGGCCATCGAACGCTCCGTCGATACGGTAACCAATAGTTGCTTGATCCCTCAATACCTCATACTCGAAGACGACCGACGACAGAATTCAAGACTCGGGATTCTTAACACCCCCCCCCCCCCGGTTTTCCTCGCAAGCCTTAATGAGCTGGAATTGGTGGCGCTGGGAGTAGAAGCGGAAGAAGATGAATCCGCCCTCATTATTTAAGTATTAGCGGGGACGGCGAGAGGATCCGATTGGTCGGGCGGCGTCGGCTGCGCGTCCGGGGTTCGCTGCGGACTGGCTGTCAGGTCGGGCCTCACCATCCGACGTCGCGCGCCCTCCGCAAGTCGCCCTCCACCGCCAAGCAGCTCTTCGGCCACCTTCCCCGAAAACCGACAAGTAAGTAACGCTTCTGTGCTTTTCAATTTTTTCCGCCGTTGCACGAATAGATTTAGGCAGTGGTCTCCTTCTCAGCCGCGCAACGCAACACTGGAAAAAAAAACACATTGGATCTAGAGTTCAGACTCTTAAAAACATCGACAAGAAAAAATACTCTTGATTTAATCGGATTTTTGCTTAAATCAAGAACTAAGCCTCTTAATTTGAGCGGATTTCCTTTTGATTTAAGCAAAAATCTGATTGAATCAAGAGTATTTTTTCTTGTCAATGCTTTCAAGAGTCTGGACTCTAGATCTAATGTGTTTTTTTTTCCAGTGAAAAACGCCGTAAACGCCATTTTAAATTTTTTGGAAACACACTGAAAAAAATTCTCGGCGTTTTTACCAAGGTCCGTTGGTACCTTTACCATCTCACTTTTTTTTACCAAGACAGACTGGTAAGTTTACCTAAAAACCGGTATTTTTACTGTTTTTTCAGGTAAGAATACCACTTTTATTGGTAACCAATTCCCGGTAACTTTGCCATTTTATCTCGGTAATTCTACCACAGTCGATAAAATATATCGGCGTTTTTACCAAGGTCCAGTAAAATTACCGAGAAAATTACCAAGATTTCTCGGTAAAATTACCAATTCCATAAATGGTAATTTTACGAAGAAAAAACTGGGATGAAATAGAACCCTGAATTCTTGGTACTTTTACCCTTTTCTTAGTAAATACACCGAGATATTTTTTTCAGTGTGGTCTCCTTCTCTGCCGTGCAACGCAAAAAACGCCGTAAACGCAATCTAATTTTTTGGAAACAATGTATCAAATCAAACAAACTTGCGTACCTTTAGACAATGTTTTTACAGAATCCCTTCGCAAATACTATCAAGAACTTAATCTGAAAATTTGAGGTACATGAGTAAAACAGTTTTTATTTTATTAAGTGTTAAGTTCCAAAAACGCGGGGAAATTTAGATGGATTTACGGCGTTCTTGCTTAGCACGGCAGTTCTATGCCCGTCAAAAATTCCAGGATTCGGAACTTTTTTGTTCCAATACTCCATGACCGTCAATTGTTCCGGGATTCTTTTAAGATTTTTTTAAAAGTTCGGAGAAAGTTCCGGAAAATGCAAAAAGATCCGAAACATCTCGGGAATTTCAAAAGTTCCGGGAAAAATTCAGAGAAATCTCAAAAGTTCCCAAATTCGGTACTAGTTCCGAGAAATGGGAGCACTGGGTTTAGGGTTGTATTAATGGTGGGTTGAAATTTTCGCACAAAATTCCCAATTTTGATATTTCTGCACAAAAACCTGGATTGACATTGCCGCACAAAATCAGTCTGCAAAAATGTATCTTTGGTATGATTTGACAACACCGCGCAGCCAATTGAAACGGGTCTCTCATAATCCACTCACCAAAAAAAATTTAGAAGAATTAGAGGGACAAAATTTACTAATCTATCGCTCATGGGGGATCGCTGGGTCGTGAGGTATAACTTGGGCAGAAAATATTTTGTGCGGAAACGTTAATCAAGATTTTGGTGCGGAAATGTCAAAATCCCAGATTTTGTGCGAAAAATGCGTACAGCCGTATTAATAATTCGTCGTTTCCCCTCACAAGAGAACGCAACTAAAATTCGATGTTGCCAAATTTGCCCGTGCAGATTGCATTTTCACCATGAGAATTTTTTTGAATTTTTATCTGCAAGTTTAACAAATTTTTCCTCTGACCTCATTAAAAAATCAGACAAATTTTCAATAAAAACTGTGTAGGTTAATTTTTGTAAAAAATATAATAGCTCGAGTCAATTTTTCAACCTTGGTATGGAGTTACGTTCCTTCGATGTTGAACAATTTCCCCGCGCAGATTGCACTTTTTAACAGGGGAATCTTCCGAATTTTTAACTGAAAATTTCACCAATTTTTCCTCTGATCTCATTCAAAAAAAATACCACAAATCAAAGTTTGTACCTCCGTAAGATTCATAGTTAAATATTTCCAACGCTATTTTTGCATTTAAAAAGGTTTTTCTTGACTTTGAATTTTTGAAAGGAGAGAGAATGTGGCTAGTCAAGTTCAAAACTATTCGTCACTCATTTTTCTTTAAAAGCACACAACTCGGTTCCTTCCTGTTTCAATCAAATGCTTTGCTAGAATCTCCAATTGGAACACACATCACAAAGACGAACAACAGCTTAATTTGGGGAAATGTTGCACAACAAAACAAAAGATAGATTTAAAAAAAACCAAGAACGTTTCGAGATATATGGACTGCATTTTGCAATTTGGAACTATAAATTCCGGCCCGGTTTGAAAACAACGTACGTGCCATTAGTTTCCCCATGCACATAAATATTTTTTCAGATGAGCCAGAATTTATAGCTCCAAATTGCGAAATGCAGTCCATATGATAATTGAGGGGCTCGGAAGACAAGGCGCATAAGTGCAGTTTTTGAAAAAATTGAAATATTAATTATTTTAAGTGAAACTAGTCTCCATGCATACTCTGTGAAAAAATCGCTACCGAATTCCAATTTTTAAGCATCAAAAAGGCACTTTGAACTTTCTTTCCGCCATGTGTATCCATATAATTTCGAAACTGCTAACACGTATTTCTCGAAAAAACAAAAACTGCACTCATGCGCCTTGTCCTTCAAGCCCTTCAGTTACATTTTTAACCTGACAAAAAAGGCGAGGAAATGAGTCCTTGATTCGCTGTTATTGCGAGACCGAGACTCACACAGACTTCATAGAGACAGTTCTTAAAAAATGAGTTAAAAAAAATGCGTCTACACCCACGCTTGGATACTCCGCAAAGCAGAATACACTTAAATGATCTAATAACGAGAATAAATTTCTCCTCATTTTATTTATTATAGAATGGACCCGAGCGAAGTTCCTCCGATGAAAATTTAATTTTAAACCCAGTTTCCAGGTTATTTTTTTTCCTGGAAAAGCGTCTAAGCATAGCTGAGCATTATCTTTCGACAAGCGATCTTGACGTCACCTGACAGTGCTAGTATAAAAAGAACTTGTGTGAAATAAGTATTTCGATGTTGAGACTTCCAAACCACGTATCTCGGATTTTCAAGGCCAAAAAAGAGTAAATAAGGGGCTATTCAAGTATTACGAAACGCACTTAGAGGGGGAGGGGCGGTTTGAGCCAGTGTTACGGTGCGTTACAGCGTGATGTAATAAGTCCGAGCCGGGGGAGATAAAACTTTGAAAAAAAAAGCGCCAAAATTGAAAAACCGACCCTTCCAGAATGAATCTTTATTTCACACCTTTATTGATCTTTTCCCGTCGTGCTTCAGCAAAATAGCTCAAAAAAAAAACCCCGAATTTATATCAAGCCGTTTTCTCAGCATTTGCTTGATTTGTTGAAAATTTGGAGGGGCCCTGGTAAAAATTGGCGATAAGAGCTGCGTTTCAAAATACCATAGGAATTCTTATAGCCGGCTAAAGAAGGCTACAGAAAATCATATAGCTGGTGCTGGCTGTAGAATGCGGAGAAAATCATACGGCCGGGCTATACGGAGCGATGAAAAATTATGCAGCCGGGCTATAGTTCCTATAGCCGGGCTTTATACTTTATCGCCTGGCTGTTGCTTTTTCGCCATCGATTATAAAAGGCTATAAGAAATTGTGTAGAAATTCGTGTGCTTTGGAAATCATTAAGTTTGATACGGAACCACCTTAATATTTACAAAACACACGTTATATTTTCCTTAATACATTTTTTTTTCATCAATTAAAACGAGAATAATCCGTGCAGGATGTGCAAACAGTTCAAAATATGAGTTGAATAACGCTGACTCCGCCAGATTAAATTTTAGAGCCTAACACAAAGCGGAGCGGCGACGCACTGGCGCCTACAAACCTAACGGGGATACTTCACACATTGCGCAACGCGTGAAGTATCCCTGTTAGGTTTATAGGCGCCAAAGCGCGTTTCGCGCTGGCTGCCCGCCTGCCGCACCGCAGCCTGCCACGGCGCTTGAAGCAACTATTTCACACCAGAGGTATTGCACAGTATCATACGAAACTGAAGGCGCTCTAATATATTAGGAACGGCAGGCATCCATCAAAAGTACGGAGCTTTCCTCGCAAAATAAATCAAGATACTACGGCCCAAAAAGAAAGCAGTGGTCCAAAAACTCACTAAGTCCTAGCATCCGTAATTAGTGACGTTTAGCATACACTTTATCGCCTGGCTGTGAGTTGCTTAATCGCCATCGGCTATAAAAGGCTATAAGAAATTGTGTAGCCGGCTATAGAAGCTATTGGAAATCTTACAGCCGGCCGTAGGTCTATGATATTTTGGAACACAGATTCTACTGCCAATTTTTACCAAAGGGGATCAGGCCAATGTTACGTAATTCAAAAGGGAGCGTAGGTCTGCGTTACGGGTGCGTTACGAGGGGGAGGGAGGGTCAAAAAATCGGAAAAAGTGCGTTGCGTAATACTTGAAAGGCCCATTTGCAACGTTGCAATGGGTGAAGCGCAGTTTTCGACTTCAGCCATCGAAAAGCAATGCTTGAATCAGGCAGCATGGAAGTAAAAACTCAAAATCAAGGCAATTGATAATAAGACGTTTCGGTACGGGGGGATCCTCGTATTCAAATTACACTTTAGAGTTTACGACTAGATCAGGCAATGTAGCGGATAGCATAAAGAGCGTTTACGAGGGCATTCGGGGGAGTTCCGAATTTACTGCGGGTCTTGTTTATTGAAATCGTTTTAACGGGTTTTTAACACCTCCACCCAAGCGCACCATTTTTGAGCCCTCCGCTCACAATTGCCTAATATGCCTCCGAAACGTGGTAGAAAGTGGCGTTTTAAAATTTGCATTCAAGGAAAAGAATTCACGCAAAATTCGCGGAAATTCGTCTCGATGAGGTCAGTGTGCAAAGTTCAACTGAGCTGTTTTGAAGAGTTAATGGAGGTCTATTTCAGGGATGCCATTTTGAACTCGCGTTGCACCTACTTGAGCGCTCAGCTGATATGTTTTTCGC